ACTAGCTGAGTCGATCTAGACATGTGTGTCCGTCCGTCTGTCCATTATAATTTGTAAACACGATACACAGTTATGGACCAATCTTCACGAAATTTTCCATGTAGGATGGGTTCGGCCCAATGAAGACCCCTATTGTTTTTGGTAAAGATCGGTTCATATTTAGGGGATGAAATGGACCAAATACTGAATTTTTGTCGGTTTTTCTGGTCGCTCCAGAGGCCGCAATTATTGCCAAAACATCGCCAATTTTTTCCTTGGAGAAGGGGATTGGGCCAAAGAATAAGCATGCCTTTTTGATAAAGATCGGTCAATATTTAGAGGGTCAAATGGACCCTGACTTTTGTGTGAAAAATGAAAAAAATTGTATTCTACAGCGTATATATTTACTCCTGAAGGACATAGTGCCGAGAAGTTGATAGTATATCCAAGAGGAGTGGGTGACCTTTAAATTGATACCAATTATATTGCCGTATGTACTCGGATGTGGGAGTTACACGTAAATATTTACAGGTGCTTACGTATTAATATATTATTTAGTAACCCATTACCACACTAGAGGGCGGAAATATAGCGCTGTTCGCTTTGAAATGTCTCATGAGGTTCCAATTATGGTCAAGTGCAACGCCTATAATTTTCGGCGATGATCAGATAATAATTTTGGGATAAAGTGGACCGAAAACTTATTTTTTTGTGTTTTTTCGAGTCGATCTTTAGGCCACATTGAAAGCCGAAAATCACAACACAACCCACGATCAAAGGAATGTGGACAAGTAATTAGACTAGTCGGTCAAGAGGGTAAAAATATCGCGAAATATTGCCCAAGTTCAGAATATAGAACCACACAAAGTTAGATTTTCGTGGAAGTTGTGTAGGGTATCATATGGTCGGCCCCGTCCAACTACACTGCTCCGCTCACTGGTTAAAGAATATTTTTGGGAGGAGGGATCGTGGAATTTTAAGGAATATTTATAGGAAGACCATCTCAACAATAAGCGAGGAGTTTTAACGAATATTTTTAGGAGGACCATCTCAGCAACGAGCGGGGTGTTTTGAAGAATATTTTTGGGATGACCATCTCAACAACGAACGTGAATTTTTAAAGAATATATATATATATATATATACAGTGTTGGAAAAATATTTTTTTAGCACAATTTTTAGTAATAAAGTAATTGCTGATGTGTTCTAAACGCTTGAGATAAATTCTCCATACAGTGGGATATTGTTTAGACATAAGTACATAACATTTTAATCATTAGACACACACACATACGCTATAATACAATTTACCTTTTCTATGACAGCTGCTCACGCTATTTTAAATTATATAAACTAAATGAAAAGCGTTAAAATCTGATTTAAAATATAAATAAATATAACGTTTCAACACTAAAAACGCAAACACAATTATTTTCTATTCACTTTATTACAAATTTTCCGTTTTACTTCTCTATTAGTATTTTTTCTCTTCGTATATATTTTTGCTTGATAATTCAAGAATTTTATTTTATAGTTCGTACTTTCTTTTCCAACCGACAATTTGTTTCTCTGTTGCTGTTCTTGTGGCTTTCTTTATAGGATAAATTAGTTTTAATTAATACACAATACAGACTTTGTATAATAATTTACGATTTTTTTTCTATTATATTCTTGGTGTGTTTTTCTCTTTACGATTGTGGAAAATATTTTTTATATGCGGTAGAGTACAGGCAACCGGTAATATCAAACTCAGAAATTCAACTGAGAAGATCGCATGAAGATGTGGATTGATGTTTGATTGTGGTGAATAAAATAAAAACTAGGTTTGATACTCACATTCAGGTGTGTTGCAACTGAGGCCAATGTTGCCATATTTATACCAATATTGAAATGATTTTAATAAAAATATATTATATATAATATTATTATATATAATGTCTCATTATATTATATATAATATAATGTCTCATTATTTTACATTTTTATTAACCAAACTTAATATTAACAATGTATACATATACTACAAATAAATACATAATATTAATATAATTCTTGTATACTAATTAATTATTTATGAATATTACATAAATTCAGCTAGTTGTGAAATTTGTGTGAAAAATTATATATAGATTTTTGTATATATTAAAAGTATTTTAAGTACTTTCAAAAGGTTTGGAGGCTGAGAATAAACCCACCAATATAAATACTGCCATATTTACGATATTATGATATTTCTTATTTCGGGTTCGTGGACGGTGATCAAAATACTTTCAGAAATTTTTTGATGAAGGTCCCTTATGCCTAGTGAAGGTATATACATTTTCATACGACAAAAATGTCCCTCATCCAAATATAGGGTTAATACCCCATGTTTCTTTGGATCAAATCTGTTTTAGAAAGTTTGGACTCGATTTAAAAATGTTCGTCCGTCTGTCTCTCCGGCTGGTGCACCGGAATATCGATCCACTTCTCCAATGTCCAATTTTATATATTAAGTTCGAAGATTGAGATAATCCTTCTGTTACACCCCCCACAAAATTGTCAAAATTTTGCTGAACATGAATTTTATAATCTCATACGAACAGAGCATCCGATTGAAACCAAACTTTTCCTCACAAAGTGTCACAATTTTGAAACTTTGTAAATCTTATATGGAACGAACGGAATATCCTAATTTCATCCAAACTTTGCACATCCTAATATTTGTATCTAGCCTAGATCGAATCCAAAGATGGGAACAATCGGTTCACTGCTCCTAGAGACACTCCCCCCACAATCGGTCAAAGTTTTGAAAAATTGTTAATCCAAAAGCAATGGATTGTCCGATTTTATGCCAAATATATATTTCTTTCTAAGGTAATTCAAGTTAGAAGATGGAAACCATCGGTCCATTCCTTCTGATACCTTCAACACAAAATGGTCAGAGTTTTGCTGAAAATTCATTTTATAATATCAGGAGGAATAAGTCTCCTTCCCATCGCATATAAATTGCTATCCAGCGTACTGTGTGAACGACTGTAGCCAGTGGTGAATGATATTATTGGACCATATCGAAGCGGCTTCAAATCCGTCAATCCTTGAAAAGACCCACGAAAAATACATCGACATATTCCAACTATTTGTCGACTATAAAGCCGCATTCGACAGCCCTAACAGTTCAGAGGTGTTTAAAGCGATGTGAGCGTTCGGCATTTCTGCAAAATGAATACGGCTATGCAATTTAACTTTAACTGGCACAAGGTCAGCATTTAAAGTTGGAAAGGGCCTAATGGAACCATTAAATACGAACCGTTATTCATACAAGGTGACATCAGTTTTGAAATTCGAAGAAGAATAGTGTTGGCGAACAGATGCTACTAAATATCTAAGTTAACAATTTAGAAACAAGGCCACCTCTCGCCAGACTAAACTCACACTCTACAAGACGCTGATACTACCCGTTCTGTTGTTTGTATCTGAAAAATGGGTACTTGCGCAAGCGATGTGGCAGCTGTTGGAGTGTTTGAGAGAAAAATTATCCGGAAGATCTATGGGCCGATCTGCATTGACAGTGAATATCGCCGTCGAATGAACCATGAGTAGTACCAGCTATTCTCGGACATCGACATTGTTAGACGTATTGAGCTGCAGCGACTACGTTGGTCATGTTGTGAGAATGGGTGAAGATGTCCCAGGCCAGAAGGCATATAAGAGCGAACCAGCTGATGGTTCCCGTAGAAGTAGAAGGCCACGAATACGATGGAAAGATCAAGTCGGAGACAACATTGCCGAAAATGGTCTTTCACATTGGAAAAACTGCGCAAAAGACCGAAGCGCCTGGAAATCTTTTCTAAGCTCGGCTTTTGGAACGAAAGTTCTGTCACAAGCCAGCTAAGTAAGTCTATGGGCCGATCTGCGTCTATGGTGAATATCGCCGTCGAATGAACCATGAGCTATACCATCTATTCATCGACAAAGTCAGATGTATCGAGCTGCAGCGTCTACCTTGGCTAGGCCATCTTGTGAGAATGGATGAAGATGCCCCAGCTCAAAAGGCATATAAAAACGAGCCAAGTGATGGTTCACGCAGAAGGGAAAGACCACGAATCCGAAGATCAAGTTGAAGACAACATCTCGGAGCACAGTCTTCCAAATTGGAAGAGCTGCACAAAAGACCGACGCTCCTGGAAATATTTTTTAAACTCTGCTTATGGAACAAATGTTCTGTTATAAGCCAGTAAGTATCACTCGAATGGACTATTCGATTTGCACATATCATTGCACAACTTAAAATTTTAAACATGCCTATATAATGTTGGAAGATGGGACTTATCAGTCCACTTCACTTTCTAAAAATTCGAGAATTCACTTTCTAAAAAAGTGAATTCTCGTTGGATTCCACACAACCAGCAAAAGCAACATGATATTCACCTAGAATGTACTTTAAAAGTAGCTAAAATCGTCTGTAGTTTAAAAGTCCTTCAACCCGAAGGAATTTTTTAGAGGTTCTTAGATAACCGTCAATAAGACGTCTCCCTCAATTTTAGATATTTTAATGGTCCTAAGTGCATTTTCCTGCTGAAGAAAAGGTAAGTTGATATTCTGGGTTGATAGTGAGTAAAAAACTTTTTTACAAGTATATGTCAATGTTTTGACATAACCCCCATATATTTTCGTTATTTTTAAATTTTCAGCAGAATTTTCCAAAAGAAGTGGTTCTAATCAATATTTGCATAAAATGTTTAATATGGGTCCATGTTTGGTATTTCCTTTAGTCAGAGGTAAAAAAACCTCCTGCGTCCTATTTACAAAGACATAACGGCCATATACATTTTTGGAACCTCCCACCTCATGGCGGAGGACACGGCCGAATTTACGAAATTTTTTACATATATATAAGTACAGATATTTATTAGTAAAATAAAGATTTGTGGGCCAAATATTAATTATTAAAATTCATTAGTGTTGATGACAATTCTCCTGCATGGTGAGTTGGTACTGTGTACGAAATTGATATACGTAAAAACTACAAACATTCTCGTTTAATGCTCATATTCCCTTCTGGTTTCCACTTGACCTATATTAACAATATTTTTGCGGAAAATCTTGGTCCACAATTGCATCAAGGGTTTAATAATGAAAAAGTATGCAAATTCCACCAGAGAAAACACACTGAAACCAATCATCAAACTCATAATGCCACCAGTTTGAGCTGAAAAAAAACAAATTAAAATTTCCAAATTGTACAAATAAATTTTCAACTTACACAAATATTCCGTTAGACCCGTATACGGAGTCTTAATACTACTACGATAATAATTTTGTGGAAAATAAATATTAACCAAGGCTAAATTTTCCGAAATATATTCCTTCGAGAAGTTGCGCATAAAACTATTATCCAATTCGAAATCATCTGTAGCTAGAGGGGTTTCAAAAACATCTGGCATATAGCTGAGATCATGGCAACTTGACAAGCATTCCTTTTTACATTTCATCGTTTTGGGATCCGTGTAAACCCTTTCGGCCTTCTTTTGACAATCCAAATGTTGTATGTAACAAATGGTGGCATTATCAAAGATTTTCGGTAGAAAATAGGGAATACAATTGCATGTTCGCAGGAAAAACATGGCATCACATTCACTGTCACAATTACGTCGTGTATAATATTGATAATAGAGTAGTGGCTTTTCCTTGGCAAAGTAACACTGACGATCTTTGGGTGCTACGGAACGCAGTGTATCCTGTGCCTCATCTTTAATTGTGGCAATACGAAAACTTGACTGATAGCCCAAATTTACCAATAGACCGGTTTCTTTGATCTGCGGTACATCTATGGGATTGTGTAATTGTAGCTGAAATAAATAATGAAATATATTGTATTATAATAAATTGTTTTATCTATATAAGAATTTTCATTCGCATACCTTAAATCCTGGTCCATTTGTCGAAGAACAATAATAATCGTTGATATTACCATTTAGAACCAATGTTAAACCTTTCGACACGCCCTGACCAACAGCTTTGCGGGGATAATAGCGAACCGGTAAATCATCGGGATAGCCAGTTTCTGGATGCCAATCAATGGGAATCCATTGGCTCTCAATGGACGTGAAATCTCGAGTCATAATAAATCTGAGTGAAGAGACAATTATTTTCTAAGGACTTTGTACAGTCTTTATAGCATCTACTTACTCTCCCTTGTAAAGTAAAAACGGATGGGCAATATTGAAAGAACAACAGATACCCTCATCCAAAAATACTTCCCTGAACAAATCGGTGCATGTGATTGGCGTCTGATCCCATATACACATGGCAATCAGTTCGGAACAGGGTTGACTATTCTAAAAAATAATAATTGAATAACAATTAGCATAACGTATGCAATAAATCCGTTGTAAAATTGCTGTGATATGGATTTATTTTACTTTCCGAATTGTAATGGGCCAGGAATTAATTTTTTAGCCAAAAAGTTAATTTCAGGTAAAGAGGAAAAACGTTATATTTGAAATCTGGGAACTTTGAGCTTTACACCACGATTGTATATCATTGTAGGTCACTGTTTGCAAATAGTATGAGGCCAAAGTCAAAATTTTATACTTTTGTGAACATAATTATTAAATTATATTAAAAATTTTATTTTGAAAAAAAAAATAAATAAAATTTGTATATTGAAATGACACTGCACTGCTTGGCACAGTGCCTAAGGATATTTTAATGGTTATAGTACCAATCGTGGCCTTTATATTTTCTCGGTCCAAAATTTTGCGACGATTTATAATTTTAAGTGCTAATGCCAACAATATAAAAATAGCCATTGATTATTGCATGTAAAAATTGAATATGAAAATGAAATTTAACTTTTACTAACATATCATGCTGATGAGAAAATTGGAAGAATTAGTCTCACTTTCAACCAAATTTGCTGTAATTTGGTATTTTCGATTCGCATTATGCTGTGCTAATATAGTAGCGGTGAAGAGGATACCCCAGAGCCAATAATAGATGACGGTATAGAGTGTATACCACCTAGCCAAGATGAAATCAGAATAGCAATCTATCGGCTGAAGAATAATAAAGCAGCAGGTGCCGATGGGTTACAAGCCGAACTATTCAAGACTGGTGGTCAGATGCTGGTAAGGAGCAGGCACCAGCTGCCTAGTACAATTTGGCTAGAAGAATGCATGCCCAATGATTGGAACCTCAGCATCATGTGTCCAGTGCACAAAAAAGGAGACAAGGCGATATGTGCCAACTGTAGAGGAATAAGTCTCCTTCCCATAAAATGCTATCGAGCGTACTGTGTGAACGACTGAAGACAATGGTCAATGATATTATTGGACATGTACCAATGCGGCTTCAGACCTGGCAAATCCACACTTTGACCAGATTTTCACTCTGGGCCAAATCCTGAAAAAAAACACACACGAAAAACACATCGACACATTCCACCTATTCGTCGACTATTAAGCCGAAGTGGGTCTGGCAGTAAACGGCGAGAAGACCAAGCTGATGGTATCAATGCGCAAGACGTCCAGTAGACTCGGACCAACTGTTGAACTTGAGAACTACAGCTTCGAGGTAGTACCGCCATAAATAAAACGAATGACATCAGTTTTGAAAGTCGGAAAATGATAGTGATGGCCAAAAGATGCTACTGTGGTCTTAGCAAACAACTCAAAAGCAAGGCAAGCTCCCGCCAGACCAACCACACATTCTACAAGACGCTGATACTACCCGTGATGTTATATGGATCTGAAGCAAGGGCACTTGCGCAAGCAGATGAGGCAGCTCTTGGAGTGTTTGAGAGAAAAATTCTCCGAAAGAGCTATGGACCGATCTGCGTTGACGCTGAATATCGCTGTCGAATGAACCATGAGTTGTACCAACTATTCTCGGACATCGACATTGTTAGACGTTGTTGAGCTGCAGCGACTACGTTGGCTAGGTCATGTTGTGGGAATGGATGAAAATGGCCCAGCCCAGAAGGCATATAAAAGCAAACTAGGTGATGGTTCAAGCAGAAGGGGAAGGCCACGAATAGGATGGAAAGACCAAGTGGAAAACAACATTACCGAATATTGTCTTTCAAATTGGAAAAACTGCGCAAAAGACCGAAGCGACAGGAAATCGTTTTTAAGCTCGGCTTATGGAACGAAAGTTCTGTCATGAGCCAGCTAAGTAATTAAGTTGTGCTGTGCATATTCTTACCATGAATTTTTATAAATTTTGGTCCACTATTTATATATATTTATTTATATATATATATATATATATAATTGGGATTCTGCGCATGTTTTCAACAAAATTAGTATTTTGAATTTTGATTGGGTGTGAAATCATAATACCAAAAATTGAGTTATGTTTCAGGGTACGTACGATATAAATGGTATTTTAGGGATTTTGAACATATTCTATATTTCACATTTAACTAAGGTATGCCATTATATTTTTTACGTATTATTTTAGGCGCAGGGTTTTTAAACCCACTTTTCAATTTAAAAAAAAAATCGAAGCGTATGGTTTTTGTTCATAAGCGTTACGTTTGTAATCTTTAACTAAACTGCAAATAGCATGAACGTCTCCCAACCCTGCATCATTTTTGTTTTGTATAAAGTTTGCCCAAGAGCAAATGAAGAATGATTTATCCGGTAGAGCGACAGGCGCCTTAACGGAAGAGTTTGCTGAAGAGCAAGGTGCAAAAAAAAAACATTGACCATGGGTGTTCCAAACCACCGTGGTAAACTGGAATTGTTGGTGAGAGCCCCAACAGGTTTTTTCTTTTTTGCAAAAAATTTTGTTAAGATCGGCTGTGGATGTCATTCAAAATATGTAAAATTAATGGAGGGCTCCAAGGATGCGCTATACAATGACAACCCCCAAAATACTGAATATGGGGAGGTACCGTTATATGGGGGCTACCCTGGAACTTGGGTCAATTTTAATAATTTGTGGTACGGAGATGTACTTTTCAATGAAACCCCAAAATACTAAATTACAGCAAAGTCAAAGTTGAAAAAGTGTCCAAAATACCGAATATTGGGGTGTACCGTTATATGGGGGCTACACCAACCGATGGACCGATATATCCGATTTGCAATAGAGCTCCATTTTAAATATTGCGATCTCTATCGTGATTTCAACAGATGGGCGGCCATGATAAATCTAAATGAATATATACCCTATATTTATATACCGGTGAATATTTCAAGGTGTTGCAGACTGAATGACAAATTTAATATACTCTCCTCCATGTGGTGGAGGTTATAAAATCAAAGAATTTGTTATCCATTTCGTGGTTTCAAAAATTTGGGACTGGGATTCGCCCACTCTTTTTCTTTTTAGTTGAAAGTCTGACATTGAATAGCTTAAATATCTCACAGAGCATAAAAATTATTAACACACAATGTAAGTAGATGTCGCCCTCAAATATATACACAGGTTTTATTATTTTATTATTCCCTTTATATAAGGTATGTGTTTTTATAATAGAGGTTTCGTTGTTTATACCCTCAACTTTATGGCTAATGAGGGTATATTCACTTTGATACGGAAAAAATATGCCTCATCGAAATATTAATTTTAAACCCCATGTTTTTTTGATCAAATCCGTTTCAGACAACTTGTGCTAAAAATGAAGTTCATATTGTCATTCGAACGGACTATCTGATTTGAACCAAACTTTGTGCAAGCTATTATCTTTACCAAACATAAATCAAATCCGAATATGGGACTCATTGGTCCACTTCTTCTGCTACCTCCCCCATAAATAGTCAACATTTTCAATATTTATAAATTGAAAGGAATGTTCGATTTGAACCAAACTTTTCTCATCCTATTATCTTGACCAAGCCTAAATTAAGTCCGAAGATGGGACCCACTGATCCACTCCTTTTGATACCTCTCTCACAAAGGGTCCATGTTATATAATATAGTAAATTTAGTTTGAAGCGAATATTAAATCCGAAATATCTTTGATAAAAACATATACTTTATATAAAGTGAATAATAAAACCCGAAGACCTCCGCCATAGGATATTGGAGCGATTACAAATAGGTCAATGCATCTCGATTCGCTCGTACTACAGAAAATAAATCCGTTTAAATGAGAGAACTGACGTAGACCCGAATATGTCAACTCCTCGTCGTTTCTTAGGGCAACTTATGGCAAATTTAGCATTTTCTGAAACAATTTGATCATTCACAACGTCGTAGATACGTGGAATAGGTGGGTATGTTAATAAACAAAATTGTCTCGTAATTGGGCTTCTGAGAATCCTTAAGTATTTGAAGGGAGGCCATTAAATCCAGAAAACATCACGCTGTGGTGCGCCCTCTGGTTCGTTTGATTATTTCTTCGAAAATAACAAGCACCGTCTATTCGGTGCATTAGGGTCATATGACAGCCATCGGGTTTGTCTGCTATTGAAGAATACGACTTGGAGAATATGTGGTTTTAACAAGGCTGTGCTGCATTCCATACATCAAACGAATATTTATTTATAGCAAGAGACATTATTTTTTGGCTGCGTAATTTCTCATCTTGCCGATATCAACTGGTCACCAAGATCATGCATAAATATTTTTTTTAATATATCTTATATACCTACCCTTAACATGAAATTGACCAGCGAATCATTTGCTTTATGAAATGGAGCTGTTGCATATGCCGTATAATTTAGATCTTGAAAACAAATTTGTGTTAGCATTGCATAGTCTGAAGAATTCCTGCAAAAAAATCAAAAAATATTTTATCGCAGAAATTAACACTGTACATGAAACTTTCAATTATTGTTCAATTAATAAAATTGTAAATAATAATTTAAAATATTTACACATTTTTACAATACTTACACATGAATATTGCTCGCTTTTCTTCTGCTGACCTGATTCATATTACAAATTGTTACCGCTGGAAAAGGATCGTTGGTAACCAATGTTGCCTCGGGATTCATAATAATTATAACCGGGGAAGTTTTCCACTTTTCAATGATGTTAAGGGCAAAATTTAAAGAATTGTAAGCGGCCGCAACAAAAAATATAAAGAAAAACAATCTGTGAAATAAAAAAAACAAATATTATTTATTACCCCAAAATTAATAAATATTAAAGTATTTTTATACCCTCCACCATAATGTGAAGTGTATATTAATTTGTCATTTCGTTTGCAACACATCGAAATATTCGCCGGAGTCCCCATAAAGTACATATACATTCTTGATCAAAATAAAATTTTATGTCGATTTATCCATGCCCGTCTGTTGAATTCTCGATAGATATCGCAATACTAACATAGAGCTCTGAAATTTTGAACAGACGTTGTTAGTACTCCTTAGATGTTTGGCATTGCAAATGGGATATATCGGTCCACGTTTCGGTGTAGACCCCACATAACGGTACCCCACAATATTCGGTATTTTATTGGGACACGTTTTCACCCGAATTGGGTGAAATTATGTATTTTGGGTTCTCATCTCAGATTAACCCAAGTTTAAGGGTAGCCTAAATACATTGATTCCGTCTATTATTCGGTATATTTGGGATTCTGTACACGTTTTTCAACCAAATTGGATGTAATATGGTATTTTAAAATCAAATTGGGTGTCAAATCCCACTATCAGAAATTATATATATCGATCCCCGTTTTGGTATAGCCCCATATATCGGTAGCCCCACTTTTCGATATTTTGAGAATTTAAAACAACAAACATCCTGGGGCCCTGCACCCAACCTCCCCCCTAATGATATTTTTTCACAGTAAATTTCCCCCGAAATGAAATCCTCTATACAAATCTACCTACCAAAAATATATTAATTTGTAGAAAGCCTCTATTTAACGCCTTTTAAATTGTGTATGAAATCTGATTTAGAACAATTAATTAATTGGCAACATTCTTCTTCAGAGAATATGTGTGGGGTAGATTCCAAGTTATTTGGGTTGATTTTTGATTTTTTAGTATATTTTAGAAAAACTTTATGGCGAACATGTTTGTAGAATATTCTGACCTGCTGTAAAGCCGTTTTAAGTGAGTTTTCAATAATTTCAGGAAAATGTGACCGAAAAGACCCCTTCAGATATTCGACTGAGGTGTAACTTATTAGACAAAAATATTCTCACATTTATAGCAGTAATATTGTCAAAGACACCATAAACCAAACAGGCAAGGATTACGAGAAATTTTAATCCAAATATTTTCAAATGTCTTGAAAAAATCGTTTCAGATTTAGATATAGCTCCCATACATATTTTCGTCATATTTAATGTAAATGGTGTACCAAAGTCCCTATATATCTTTCGATTTGCACGAGATTTGTACAGTGGACTGAAATAAATATAAATTAATCTATGGCAAATTTTGTTGAAATCGGTTCAGATTTAGATATAGCTCCCACATTTATATTATATATTCGTCCGATTTAATTTTTTTTTTTTAAATATTTTAGACATATCTTCAATATATATTTCGATTAAATTTTGAACAATGCGGCATACAGAATATCGTGTATATAAATCTGTCCGAATGAAGTGAAATTTAGCATAAGTTACAGAAATTCATGTGTATGGATTGATGTTAGTCGGTTCGAAGGAGCCTTGACATAAAATTGTTAGGATATATATATATATATATATACATAGTGGTGAAGGATATCATTTAGTCGGCCCAGCCCAACTTTCCTTACAGTTTTTTATCGTTGTTATAACACAAATATCAGAAGAAGAAAATTGTAGTTCACATTACCCGCTTCAATTTGATATTTTGAGTTGTCAAATCTTCTCAACTAATATAACCTAAAATGTACCCTATATAACGGTAACCCCAATTTTCGGTAATTTGATGATTTCAGACTCGATTTGATATATATTTGATATTTTGAGTTCTCATTGGGTGGTAAATCTTTGTATCAAAGATTATTATATTATAGCTATCGGTCGATCTTTGGGTAATGCAATTTCTCCTGGCAGCAATTTCGAGAGCAAACGTCGATATTTGGACTTCTTGATCTATCCCTCTGATCAAAAACATGATTTTTAGACTTTTCCATTCTTTCGTTTGACTAAGTAAATCGAAACTCGATTATCCATAGTTCCAATGTACAAGTTTAAGTATTTCAAATGTCCACCTTATGAAATAGAGTAAAAACAGTTCGGCTCGGCCGATCTTAACGACATGTTTAGATGTGTGTTCGAAATCAACTCTGATTATTTTTATTCGACTTTTCAAATAATAATTCTTATTAAATCAAAATTAAAATATATAGCATTTTTACTTACTTTTCAAAAAATGTCAAATATTTAAAGGCCAAATATTTCAGACCATTTAATGTGGTGCTTCTTAAAAATAGTTTTAACTGGTTAAGGTAATACACAAAGAAACGAGAAAGATAACCCGGTCGGGGAGGTTGATTTGGCGATTTATTTGTATAAGGCATTTTTCAAGACCGGATGTGTACTTATCGTTGGATCTGCCCGAAGCAAACTAATGTCACAATTTTACTTCAAATGCTTAAATAAGTTAAAACGTCTTCAATATAAAGTAATTAATGTTCCAAAATGTAATTTACACAATACGGCATAATTAACTCCAAGACTACATGAGTTAATTAAATTCCCCTTATGTTTCCAAATGAGAACTTTACATTATCCTAAATTGCATTTCGATACCAAATGTAATGAAACTCAAACTCATTTAATTACCTCCTTTTAAAATCCGTCCACACCACCCTCTTTACGATAGTCCACATTGGCCAGCACTGCACCCTTGACTTTCTCCACACCACAAACAGCAGTATTTTTGTGACGCACCCTTTCCGTTGCATGGCCACGACCCTCTAAATCCTCAACAATTTGCTGTAAAATACCAAATTCATATTCCAAAATATTTGGTAACAATTGATGATGAAACCGGGCAAAATCGATAGCCTGTTTAATATTTTTATCCATCCATCGGTTGCGAGAGAGGTTTTATACGATTGCGATTTGGCACATTTGGTAAAAACAAGGTCTATTATAGGCGTGGAGGCGTCTATTATGGCGTGGATTTTTTAAAGAATATTTTCTCAAGGTCTATTATAAGGCGTGGATTTTTTAAAGAATTTTTTTCAAGGTCTATTATAAGGCGTGGATTTTTTAAAGAATATTTTCTCAAGGTCTATTATAAGGCGTGGATTTTTTAAAGAATATTTTCTCAAGGTCTATTATAAGGCGTGGATTTTTTAAAGAATATTTTCTCAAGGTCTATTATAAGGCGTGGATTTTTTAAAGAATATTTTCTCAAGGTCTATTATAAGGCGTGGATTTTTTAAAGAATATTTTCTCAAGGTCTATTATAAGGCGTGGATTTTTTAAAGAATATTTTTTTTCTCAAGGTCTATCGTAAGGTGTGGATTTTTTAAACAATATTTTATAAAGGTCTATTATAAGGCGTGGATTTTTAAAGAATATTTTCTCAAGGTCTAAAGAATATTTTCTCAAGGTCTATTATAAGGCGTGGATTTTTTAAAGAATATTTTCTCAAGGTCTATTATAAGGCGTGGATTTTTTAAAGAATATTTTCTCAAGGTCTATTATAAGGCGTGGATTTTTTAAAGAATATTTTCTCAAGGTCTATTATAAGGCGTGGATTTTTTAAAGAATATTTTCTCAAGGTCTATTATAAGGCGTGGATTTTTTAAGAATATTTTCTCAAGGTCTATTATAAGGCGTGGATTTTTTAAAGAATATTTTCTCAAGGTCTATTATAAGGCGTGGATTTTTTAAAGAATATTTTCTCAAGGTCTATTATAAGGCGTGGATTTTTTAAAGAATATTTTCTCAAGGTCTATTATAAGGCGTGGATTTTTTAAAGAATATTTTCTCAAGGTCTATTATAAGGCGTGGATTTTTTAAACAATATTTTCTCAAGGTCTATTATAAGGCGTGGATTTTTTAAAGAATATTTTCTCAAGGTCTATTTCTCAAGGTCTATTATAAGGCGTGGATTTTTTAAAGAATATTTTCTCAAGGTCTATTATAAGGCGTATTTTTTATAAGGCGTGGATTTTTTAAAGAATATTTTCTCAAGGTCTATTATAAGGCGTGGATTTTTTAAAGAATATTTTCTCAAGGTCTATTATAAGGCGTGGATTTTTTAAAGAATATTTTCTCAAGGTCTATTATAAGGCGTGGATTTTTTAAAGAATATTTTCTCAAGGTCTATTATAAGGCGTGGATTTTTTAAAGAATATTTTCTCAAGGTCTATAAAGGGCGTGGATTTTTTAAAGAATATTTTCTCAAGGTCTATTATAATTTTTTTTAAAGAATATTTTCTCAAGGTCTATTATAAGGCGTGGATTTTTTAAAGAATATTTTCTCAAGGTCTATTATAAGGCGTGGAATTTTTTTTTATTAAAGGCGTGGAATAAAATAATTTTTTCTAGGTCTATTATAAGGCGTGGATTTTTTAAAGAATATTTTCTATTATCAAGGTCTATTATAAGGCGTGGATTTTTAAAATAATATTTTCTCAAGGTCTATTATAAGGCGTGGATTTTTTAAAGAATATTTTCTCAAGGTTCCCATAAGGCGTGGATTTATTAAAGAATATTTTTTCAGGAATAGGAATATTTTTTCAGGGACTATCCCAAGCGTGGATTTTTTAAAGAATATTTTTTCGAGGAATTTAGGCGTGGATTTTTTAAAGAATATTTTCTCAAGGTCTATTATAAGGCGTGGATTTTTTAAAGAATATTTTCTCAAGGTCTATTATAAGGCGTGGATTTTTTAAAGAATATTTTCTCAAGGTCTATTATAAGGCGTGGATTTTTTAAAGAATATTTTCTCAAGGTCTATTATAAGGCGTGGATTATAAGGCGTGGATTTTTTAAATAATATTTTCTCAAGGTCTATTATAAGGCGTGGATTTTTTAAAGAATATTTTCTCAAGGTCTATTATAAGGCGTGGATTTTTTAAAGAA